AATCCCGGGCTATTTATCTAGTTTTGAGACAAGGCCATGCTCTGTACTGCAGACTGGCCTTAAACTCACTGAGAACCTCTTGTCCCCAGCATTTGAAATCCCAAATGCTGGGATTCTAAGCACATACCATCATGCCCAGGTTGACACCTTTTATTTTGAAAAATTAGAAGGGCTGGGGATTTAGCTCAGCAGCATAAGCGCCTGCCTGCAAGCGCAACGTCTTGAGTTCCATCCCAGGTACCAAAAAAAAAATTAGACATAGCATTAAAATATTTGATTACATAATATGCAAAATCTGTAAATAAACGTGCATAACTTTATATACATATATGATCAAATGTTCATTAGGCATTATGTTCCTGTAAGTTCATGAATGAACCTGCCAGGAGAGGCTACCCTCCCCCATCCTCCACAATGCTAGGGATTGAACTCAAGGTTCTTGCACTCAGCTGTTCCCCCAGCCCTTTTTAAAATTTTTATTTATTTAGTCTTTTTGAGACAAGGTCTCCTCACTATACAGTTCAGGTTGAACTTGAGCTCTGTTGCCCAGACTTGTCTTGAACTTGAAACAATTCTCCTGCCTCAGCCTCCCAAGTGCTGCAGATGTACAGCACCACGCCCAGTTTAAAGTTTGAATCAGTAAATTATCCAAATTGGGCTTGAACTTTTAGTCTTCCTGCCTCAGCCTCCCAGGTGGCTGCAGCACGCCCCCCCTGGCCTCCTGGGAAGGCCTTTTTGCCTGTCACCACCACCATCATCACCACCACGCGGCGTGTAGGCTGGGAATGATGTGGTTTTCATCTGCATCTGTTACCTCCCTGGCAAGCCTACAGCACGCTGAGAGGACTGGAGACACAGCCCCAGGGTTGAGCCCTTACTTGGCATATCAAGGCTCTGGTTCAGTCTCCAGCACCATAAAAAAAGGGGAAAAAAGGAAGACAGTAAAGTGAGCCAGACACTGGCACATACCTGTAATTCCAGCTGCTTGGGAAAGTTCCAGCCCAGCCTGGGCAACTTAGCAAGACACTAAATCAAAAACTTTTAGAAAGGGGTAGGGATAGAAACCCTGCCTACTTTTCAGGGCCCTAAGTTTAATCCTCAAAATGACAAAAACTTTTAAAGATAGAATTGATACTCAAGGAAACTAGGTTATTTTACCCCTGGATAGTTTAAAAATCTACCTGTAGCCAACACTCCTATCGCCCAGCCAGGCCACTCACCTCTCCTTGCATCCTGATAGCTGGAACACCCAGGTGGTCTCAGAATACAGGAGCAGGGTGCAGTTGCAACAGGGCCTGGAGGGACAGCACAGGTCTGGTCTCCAAGTCCTGGCAGGAGTGGCAGAGCCCAGGACTGTGAGAACCACATGGCTTTTTATTCACATGGGGCCAGCCAGGAAAGGATCAAACTCACTGAGAACTCAAGGGCTGCCCTGGGACTCTGGTCGAGGAACGCAGGGTCAGCCTGGAGGCTGCAGTGTGTCACTGTTTCCATTACACACTTCCCGGGTCCCTCTCAGCTGGGGCTGAGAGCAGATTCCTCCGTCTGGGAGGCCCAAGAGGTAGGGGCTGGGAGGGCTTAGCAGGAGCCAGGCAGGGATGGGCTGGGGAGAGATAGGTGCTGAGCCTCCCACTTCTGGGACCTTGCAAACCTGTTACCCTGTGTGCAGGGTATCAGCTGAAGCAGATCTGTCTGTTGTAAAAGAATATTTTTTTTAAATAAGTAAAACAAGTATCTAGGAGGAGCTGCTGGAAGGCCCTGGGGTTCTGTCAACTGTTGTTGTGTAGGTCAGCTTCTTCAGAGGTCAGGTTGGGTGTTGGTGTGCACGTGGGGAGTCAGAGTACCTACTATGTCTCCCTACAAACACAGGCTTGAGGAAGAGGGCAGAACATGGTGTGCCAGCCTGGGGAGGAGTGGGCAGGTCTGTGTTCAAGTCCTCTCTGCCTGGCTGTGCATGCCTTGATGCTGGAAGAACCAGATTGGCCCACATTGGGCAAGTGCTGCGCTGCCATTTATTCATTTTGAGATGGGTCAAGGACAGGATGCTTGTGAGTTGCAATACATTGATTTTCCATTGTAGTGGCCGAGAGTGGCCAGCATGGCCGTGGCAGGGTGGCCCCACCCATTGCTATGAATCTGGGTGAACTCAGAACTTCAGTTTTCCGGTCTGTGAAATGGGAATAAAATCACTTCTTGGAGGGCTGGAGATTTAGCTCAGCAGCATAAGCGCCTGCCTTACAAGCAGGCAGTTGTGAGTTCGATCCCTGGTACCAAAAAAAAAACCGAAAAAGACCAAAAAAAAAAAAAAAAATCACTTCTTAGCCACTTGATTAAGATCAGATGTAATGGGAATAAGCTCTCCCTGCTGGAACAGTCGGATTGGTGACATGGAGTGTGCTAAGGGCCTACCCTGGAGGCTCTTGGGATGCAGGTCTTCCTGGAGTTGTTCTGGGCAACAGTGGGTAACTTAGAAACTGGAAGACACCCATGTCAGGGCCATAGCAAGGCATTTCAATCTGAAGCATACACTTGTCATCTCCTGCTGGTGTCTTCACCTCCATGACAGGACACGTGATGCTGGGGATTGAACCTAGAGTGTGTTACATGCTACCCCCCATCTACATCCTGAGCCCTTTTATATCTGTTCTGAGACAAGGTCTCCGTAAATTGCACAAGCTAGGCTCAAATTTGTGATCTTCCTGCCTCAGCTTCCCAGAGTGGTGGGATTACAGGCCCCAAAAGAGAGTCCATCACAAGGCCGGCATCCCTGGTCCCTGCTGCCCCTCAGATGTAGATGCTGCTCCACAGGCTCAGGTTTTTTCCTGAGGTTCTCCAGCCCCAACTCTGTCCCCTACTCCAGCCCCCTCTGGAGCAGCCTCTGCACCTTATCCACTTCACGCTTTGACTCCGCACTCAGGGCTCTCTGGCCTGGCCAGAGCTGTGCATCCCCCCCCACTACCACCACCACTCTGGCCAGCTGCCTGGGGCTATAAATAGCACAGATAGGTTGTCCCAGTCTAGCCTGGTCTGGTGCCTCCCCTCCCCCACATGGTTTTTGCCACCACAGGCTGCACCCAGGGCAGGGTGAGGTGTGCAGTGTCTGGAATTGCCCAAAATACCAACGCTGAAACCTTTCTGACTACGTTTCCCTTTAACTGGCACTGCCATCCTCCAGGTAAACACTACCTCCATCTGGCAAGGGTGTAGACTCCAAGTGTTTGTCCTAAGAAAGCTATTCTTTGAGGAGTCCCACTCTGTGGCCCATGCCGGCCTTGAACTCACAATCTTCCTTTCTCAGCCTCCAGATGCAGGCGTGCAACACAGGGCCTGAGCTCAGAAGCACAAAGACAGGTCAGTCTCCTACCAGTGAACCAAATTTGTCACATGGTTCATCTTGACCCCTCTAAATCAGAAGTTTTATTAAGATAACCTGCTTTGAAAGGGAAGCTTTTATAAGCAAATTACTAATGCAGAAATGTTTACATGGAACTACTTATTAAAACTTGGCATGTTAACAAAAACGATGCTATCGTAATTTTATCTTGTCTGTTTACTAAAACAAGGCTCTCCAGAAATGTGTTCCTTGAAGTTTTGGTTACTGTGTGTCCTCATGAGTTTTTCAAATAAAAAAGAAACTTCACTTTTTCTATTTCAGGACTTCCATCCACTTTGCATTCCCCTAAGGTGGGGGCTGGAATTCAGGCCCTTTTTCTGTCACTTACTGTGACTCTGGCAAGACCCTACCAGCAATGGCCTTGGTATCACAGAGGACTTGCGGACCCCTTAGGGCTGGTGGCAGCAGATGCTAAAGATGGACAGACAAGCCACACACAGCAGTGAGCTAACCACCTGGTCCAGGGAAGGCACCTTGGAAATCACAGCTCCTGTTGCTGCTGTCTCAGCTGGGCAGCGATGTGGTAGATGCATCAGCACCTTCTGGATAGGGCTCTTAGGGCATGGGGCCACAGCTGACCCCCTGCCTGTCCCACCCAGGCGGGACATGTGAGGGCACATGCAGCTGTCACAGGAGCGCCGGGCATACAGGCAGCCAGGGAAGAGGCACCAGGCAGGGGAAAGGTGGCAGGACTACTCTGTGGTCACTATGACCCAGCCTGTCCCAGAGCAGTGAGGCAGGAGAGCCCGACATGGCTGCTGGACAAAGCTCAAGACTGCAAAGGCTCCACCAGTTTGCACAAGCTTCACTCAGGAAGGCAGAGGGCAGAGAGGCCCCTGGTGCCCGGGCCTGTGGGCGTGCACCTCGCAGGCATATCCTTCCTTCCTGCAGCCCAGGCGACTAGGTGGTCTTGCCCCGAGGGTCCTACAGCTTGGCATGGGTGCCTATCACCATGTGGCCCAGAAGTCATATGACCTTTGAGGTCCAGCTTCTTTATCTGAGAGGCTGAGCCCAGACCTCTAGTAAGGGAGGTCACTGATGTCAGTGTTCCCCTGAAACCGTTTGGACTTGGTTACAGCACTGAGGGGTGGACAGGCAGGGGTCCTGCCTGGTCCAGACACACTCTTGTAAGGACTGAGACTGAGTCCAGAGAGCCCATCTCCTGTCAAGGTTCTTTACTGATACTCTACACTATTTGTGAATGCTAGAGCCAGGCATGCATGGCCTGTAATACCAGCATTCTGGAAGGATGAGGCAGGAGGATCTCAAGCCTAACCTGGGAAATTTAGTGACTGAGAGTCTGTCTCGAAATGAAAAGTAAAAATGGGCTAGGGATGTAGCCTGGGGGAGGGGGAGAGACAAGCTGGCAGATGCTGAGGTTGGTATCTATACTCTCAGCTACACAGTAGGCTGAGGCAGGAGGATCACCAGTGGGGGCCCAGCCCACCAATTTGGCAAGACTGTCTCAAAAAATACAAAGGTTTAAAAAGGTCTGGAGAGGGGCTGGAGGTTTAGCTCAGCGGCATAAGCGCCTGCCTAGCAAGCAGACAGTTGTGAGTTCAATCCCTGGTACCGATAAAAAGGAAAAAGACACACACACACACAAAAGGTCTGGAGAGGAAGCCCAGGGCTACAGCACTAGTCAGACACACAGGAGGCCCTAGACTCAACTCCCAGCACCACAAACCAAGACCAGAAACAAAAGTAAAGGGCCCTTGCAGCAGGACAGCTGGGAGCCTGGGGCTCTGCCCACCCCACCTATCTCCCTCTCAGCTTTCCATACTGAACCTGCCCCAGCATCAACAGTTCTAGTTCTCCTCTGCTGGGCCACATGCTGGACTCCTGCGGCAGCTTAACAGATGGGAGTTAAGAACATCCTGTCCTCTCTCCTCCCAGCGCCTCCAACCTCAAAGATTCCATAAATCCTAGCCACTGCTCCCTGACCCCACAGCAGCAACTCCAGCATCAGTCTTCGGCAGCTGACTCTTAGAGCAGCAGTGCTGAGTGGGCTGGCTGCCTGTGCTCCTCCTTCTCCTGGCCGGGCCTGGGGTAAACATTGCAGGCTGGGGACCCAGGGCCATGGTCACTGCTCCCCTAGGGTGGGGACAGAGGGACAGGAAGCTGGTGGCAGTGAGGGCACCTGGTTGGCAGGACCCCATTCTGCCAGGTGGTGAGCAGCAGGCAGGTAGAGCAGCAGGATTTGCAGCCCTGGGCTTGGGCAGAGCTCTGGGGTCAGAATCTGCCCCTTTGATACCAACGCCACAGGGCACAGGCTGTTTCACAGACTGTGCCCGTCACTGAAGTCTGCCCTGGGGCTTGGGTGACCTGAGCTAGGACTGCGAGGCACGGCTATATAGCTTTTAGGAGCGATGTCAACATCAGAGAGCCTCTGTGACCTCCCTGTGCATCCTGGCCCCAGGATTGAGCCATCTGGCTGTGAGAGGGTGGGAAAGAGCCCGGAGTGGCAGGGAAGAGGTAGACATTGGTTGGGGCATGGCTGTGCGTGGCCCAGGTGCCGCTAAGGAACTGGCAGAGGCTGTGCTGGGTGTGGAAAGGGCGCCCCTAAGTCACACAGCTCCAACTGCGCCCTCCAGGACAGGGTTGGGCCCAGGCCTAGCTGGCAGCATCACCGCTCGGGATGTCTACTGATAAAGGCCAGTGGGCACCCCCAGAGGGTGAGGATGGAGTGTCCCAGAAGCTGCTGAGGAAGAGCAGGGAGTCGCCACTGGTGCCTGCAGGTGAGTGGGGAGGACAGGATGGGGTCAGAGGTCATATGGCTCTGTCCACTTTGAAAGGGCCCGACATCACAGAAGATGGAGTGGGTTGCACAGGGAAGGCGGTGGCTTCAGGAAGATGTTGAGCATTGCTGGGCAGGGAGAGAGGCCTGCCACCGGGGTCACAGGCATGAAGACAGCAGCATTCTGCATGTTGAGGGGGCTTGTAAGAAACCCCAGAGGGGGACATTTAACCCAGAGACCCTAGCTCCCATTGGGATCTGGCATGGGGCCTGAGGCCTAGGTCGCTCTCTGCCCACAGGCCTGGCAGCCTGCCTGGGGGTGGCCGTATACCGGATCCACCGGCTGAAGGCTCGAGGCTCCACCAAGCTGTCCATACACCTGATTCACACACGCATGGCTGCACAGGCGTGTGCCGTGGGTGCCATCCTGCTAGGTAAGCACTGCCTGGGGTCAAGGGAGTGCCCTGCAGCCAGAGGCCCAAGATCCAGGCCACTCCGATTCTGAGCCTGCTAAAGGAGCCTGGTCTCCCTGCTGAGCAACCTACCTGGAGAAGTGGTGGGGGTGGGTGAGAAAAATCACCTAGCAGGACACACCCTTGTCTCATTCTCTGAATCTGAGAGCAGCAGCCTCAGGCAGCTAAGGCAGGAGGATTACAAGTTATTTCAAGCTCTCCCTGTCTTTAAAAACAAAGCAGACAGGTACCTGCCAGCTGTGAGTGAACTAATGCTGCTCACTGCCTCAGTGTCCCCAGTTACATGACATCAGTCCCCGGCCTGGCGACTCTCCACACAGGCTGCAGAGGCCCTTAGTGAGGACAGCTCATGTGCCCTGGGAGCTGTCAGGTGGTTGCCTGCGGTGGGGTTGGGTACTTAAGAGCAGCTGCAGGCCCTGGGGTGGAAGAGAAGTGGGAGGCAGGGCTCTCAAGGGGATGGAAACACAGGGACCCCAGGGGAAGCAGAGGCTGGGAACAGGGATTGGTGCCAATGGCACTGCTCTTCCTCCCTGTGCAGGCACCGTGTACTCGATGTACAGAAACTACAGCAAGAGGACGGCCCGGGACGCTGGGGAAGACTAAGGGCTTTGGCCCATGACTGCCCAATAAAGCAGCTCCTGAAATCCAGGCGTCCTTTGTGGGTGGAGGGCACCCTCTGTGGGCAAGCAGGGACAGGGAGGCTGGGGGCCTTAGTAAGCACAGAGCTACTCCTTAGGGACCTGGCCGGAAGAGACTGCAGCTGGGAGCAGCAGCAGCCTCAAGGGAGAGCCATCTACCCAGAACCCAGCAGAAGATGAAAGCCATAGCAGGGCAAAGGGCACAGAGTTCTCTTCATTCACGCATGGGGCCAGAGCACAGAGGGATGGGTGAGAAACAAGAGTCCACAAGAGTCCCTGGACGGCGGTTCCAGCTGCTCCACCCCTAGGGCAGGAGGCTCACATCGGATAGTTGAGCACCACATCCTGCTTGGCCAGCTCCAGCAGCATGGGGTCATCAAAGAACTTGCTGATGCTCACATCCTCACTCAGGCCCTGTGGAGAGGACAGGGCAGGCACTGCAGCTACTTGGGGACCAGGACATGGCCCATAACTCTGTACAAGGACAAGGACTGCACCTTCCACCCAGTCACAGACAAAGCTTGGTTTATGGTACAGGAAGAGGCCTGAGAAGAGCTTGGGGGTTGGGATGGGGGCAGCAGCTGAGGAACACACACCTTCCTGCGCCGGGTCTTGATCATGAACTCTCGAGCCAGATGTGGGGCTGGCTGTGGCTCCAAGGGCCGGATGACGATGCTTTTGTCCAGGGGGTCGCCGGGCACAATCTGGAAAGTACAGGGCCTTAACAGGATGCTTCCCCAAGATGCCCAGAGGGACCCCACCCTGAGATTAGCGCCAGCCCCGAGCACTCACCTGCCAGTGGTGGAAGACAGACAGGGAGAAGGCCTGGCCCTGTGTGTGGGTGCGGAGATCAGTCTCAAAGCCGAAGGAATCGATGGCTGGAATGAAGGCTTTGATGGTGTAGAGCGGGGAGCCTGGAATGGGTGCATCCTGAGTCACGTGCCCCCTGGGACAGACCGAAAAGGGTGGGTCTCAGACCAGCATGGTGGCACACACCTGAGATCCCTGCACTCAGGCTGAGGCAAGAGAATCCCAAGTTTGAGCCCAGCCTGGGCAACTTGGTGAGATCTAGTCTCAAAAAGGGCTGAGTATGTCTCTGCAAAAGGGTTTAGTTCCTAGTTCTGCCCTGCCAGGTGCTGAGCTCTGGGTTCTGCTATTCCCATGCCCACTGCAGCCCCAAATCACCAGCAAGGGAGGGGTATTGAGACTGAAGCCCAGTGGGCAGACGAGCTCGGACTCCCAGGACCAGAACTGGGAAGAGCATGCCACCCCATCGACCTCCTCTCACAGGCCTGGGGGTGCCCTCAGGCTACGGTACGCTCAGGGATCCCAGCCCAGGCTGCTCACCTGCGCCGGGCTAAGACGGTATACACGGCAGACACGCAGTCTGCGGGTGCCTGCACCTCCACAAAGTAGTAGGGCTCCATCAGGCGGGGTGTGGCCTGCAGTGGGTGAGAGCAGCTCTGATGATGGAACGGAACCCCCAGGTGCCCAGGTCCAGGAGCCCTGCCCGCCACTGCCCCTTACCATGAGGAAGGCAGAGTAAACCACCCTCCGTGCCGTGGGGATGATCTGGCCCCCGCCCCGGTGCAGGGGCTCTTGGGCCACCACAGCATCCAGGATCTTAAACTTGACGTTTCGAATCACTGGGAGGGAAGAGGAGACAAGACAGCTGCCGAGGGCCAAGGCAGCAGGGCGGAAGGTCTCCCCACCATGGAAACCATGCGAGCAGGGACCCAGGCCAGGGCCTAGGGCAGGGGCACAGGGTTAGCCTTGTGCCCCATCTGAAGGCTGTAAAGTCTTCTGAACACGGGGCAGGTTCTGAGAGCTGCACCCTGGGTCCCCCCAAAGTCCCTTATGGGTTCTTGATTATTTGCTGTAGTGGGGACTGAATCTGGAGCCTTCTCACTGAGCGACATCCTCAGCCACTTTCCCTGCGCTTTTGATGAGCTCTCACTAAGTTACCACACTGTCCAGGCTAAACCTGTGGCTCCTCCTGCCTTAGCCTCCCAGTACTAGGGTGCAGGGTGTGTTCCTGGGTCTCCCTCCTATGGATACTGCCCCTGCAACACACCCAGCATGGACCCCTCTTAGGAACAAGGCCAAGTGCCCTTGCAGAAATGACTCCATTTCTAGGATGCAGCAGACAGCAGCCCCAGGACAAAGACAGGGATGGACTGGCCCAGGACACCAAGTGAGCCTCTAGTGTGTGACTTACGCTCGTCACAGAGGGGGCCCTCCCTGGTCCCCCACTGGAAGCCCTGCACAATGCTGTCTTTCACAGAGCCGAGAAGGGCCTTGTCCACCTGCGGAGAAACATGGGCTACTCAGAGGTCCAGCAGGCTGTGAGCTTGGGGGCTGGTGCAGTGCTGAGTGACAGCGACTCCCAGGGAGGAGGACAACACAGGTGGCTTCCTCTTCCAGGAGCCACACAGCCCGGCCAGTGCTGCGTACCTCTGAGGGCAGGGTGTCATCCACCAGGATGTTGGGGCCAGTGGCATCGGGACCAAAGGCCCAGATGGAGCGAGCGGCCAGCAGATCCCAGTCATACTTGGTCTGGAAGAACTCGCCCAGCTTCTTCCTGGCCGAGAGGAGGGGAAGGGAGCTGGGTGCTGGCACTCTGTGCTGTTGGCTCCGACACCATCTGGCTGGCCTACAGCAGCACAGGGACGGAGTGGGCTCACCTACCTGTTCCACGTGATCTGCACCACTTCGTTCTCGATGTCCTCAGCCAGCCCCTTCTCCAGAGGCTCTGCAATCATGGTGATCTTGTTCCTGGCAGGAAAGACGTGAGTGTGGAAGTGGCCTTGGATGGCAATGAGGGGCATGGGAGAGCCCTCGCCTGCATGGGCCTTCCTGGGCAGTGCTAAGGGTACGTCTGTCTTTCACTTCAGGCTGGTTTTTTATTTTATCAGACCAGGTCTCGCCCTGTAATTCAGGCTGGCCTCAAATTCAGGGTGATCCTCCTGTCTCAGTCTCCATGCTGGGATTACAGGCCTGAGCTGCCATGCCTAGCCAAGGCTGGAGTGTCCCTCAGCAGCAGAGCACATGGTTGGCGTGTGAGGCCCACACTACAGAAACTCAAGGGTGTGCAGCAGGGTTGTAGGATAGTCACATGACCAAGAACTGGGCTAATGAAGCTCTCTGAAGTCCCAAGAGGGTGGACCCACAGCGTCCTCCCAAGGCGGGAGGACAAGCAACTGGCCAAAGGCAGGAATTCCAGTCCTGCTCAGTTAGGTCTCTGGCCCTCAGCCTGGGGCTCCAAGTTCCCTCCTGTCTATGGCACTGGGGCTAGACCCAGGCCTTCGAGACAGTGCTATGTGCCTACATTTTCTTAGTTTTAAGACACGGCCTTGCAGTCACTCAGCTGTCCAGGCTGGATGGAACTGAATCCCTGGTCTCCTGCACCCCCAGGTCTTGCTTCCAGCTTACTTCTTATTGGGTGTCTCAGCGAAGCACTTGAGGGAAGACGTTTCCACCACTGTTTCGCAGAACGTGACCACTGGGTCAGCCACCTGGAAGGAGATGAGGCATAGCGGTCTCCTGTGACCCACTCAAGGACAAAGACCCAGCACCGAGAGGACCAGGGTCCCGCCTTGGCCAGCAGGGGCAACTGGAGTAGGGAAGGAGCTGTGGCCTGGGGAGGGGCAGGGGTACAGGAGCCAGCATCTCCCCTCCTGAGCCCTCAGGCCTGGGACGCCTTGTCCTCCTCATGGCAGCACAGGGCTGAGACCCATCTGACACACAGAGATCTGAGGGGCACCAGGGACTACAAGAGGTCCGGTGCCAATCTCCCTGAACTGCCTCTTCCAGCCCCCATCAGCACGAACTGTGCAATTCTCTTCCTCAGGAAGCACCAGAGTAACTGCTAGGGAGGCTGGATGTCGGGGTGACCAGGGTCATTACTGGAGGTGAAGGGAAGTGCCTCCACTCCAGCCTGGCCCTCTGTCTACAGGGCCTCTGTCACCTTGATGTCAATCTCCGAATACATCTTCCGTAGGTCATGCATCACACAGTCCAGGTAGAGCTCACCAGTGCCCAGGATCACGTGCTCACCCGACTCCTCCACCTGCAACAGAAGCAGAACCATAGCCCCATCCTGTAAACAGCAATGGAGCCAGCCTGTCCAGAAGCCTCCACTCAGTGGACAGCCTCAGCCCCACCTCAGCGTTTTACTTTTGCCAAACCAGGGACTGAATCCAGGCCCTTCACACTGTGCAACATCCCTAGCTCTCTTTATCCTTGGACAGGGTCTTGACAAGTGGCAAAGTTGCCCACTCTGGGCTTGAACTTGTGATTCTGCTGCTTCAGTCTCCCAGAGTGCTGGGAAGATAGGTGTGTACCTGATGCCCAGGCTGTTAGCCAATTAGGGACAAACTTGATTCTGTCAATAGACACAAGCCAGCCCTGAGCCCTGGCGGCTTCTCGGGAAGGGGGCTGGCAGCTTTAATGGTGTACACAGGATTGTAACTTGCTTTTTCCAGGACATGGAGAGGAAGTGTGTTCCCCAAGCAATGTGGAGAAACAAGGGAAACTCCTGTCCTGGGTGCTAGGTGAGCTCACAGAAAGCCCCACAGAGGCCCCACATACCTTGGTGGTGAGGGACGGGTAGCTCTTGTTCACTTTTCGAAGGCCGTCAAGCATCTTAGGCAGCTCTGAGGGATTGACCGGCTCCACAGCAATCTTGATCACAGATGTGGTGTTGAACTTCAAAGGCCGGAAGATCTGAGCCTGGGAGCCAAGGCACAAGTGAGGGCCAGGCCAGATGCACATAGGAGATGCAGGCACAGGCAGATGTGGCCATGCCAAGTGCCAAGCCAAGAGCCCTAGCCAGAACCAGTGCTGCCTGGGCCAGCAGGGGACACTACAGTCCGTATTTTGGTGGAGCAAAGAAAAGGAAAGCGGGAAATGCTCCTAACATCAAGCAAAGCCAGTGAAAATGTTGAGGGGTCAGAATCAGAAGGCAGAGTTCATGCTGGGCCTGGAGCAGGAGCACAGGGACCTGG